TACATGTTATTTTGATGATAATCGATTTCACTCAATTGATGATGATGATGATGATGATGATGATGAGTTAGATGAAAATCAAATAAAAATGAATAGTAGTAGTGATAGTATTATGCGTGAAGATGATTTAAATTGTTTACAAGTTGATGAAGAACTTGATTGGTATTCCGAATTAGAATCATTTAATATATCACCAAATAATCCACAAGTATGATAAGAAGATAGAATTTTTTTTTTTTTTTTGTTTTTACTTTTTTGTTTATAATTATTTATTAGTGGAAACATGAAAATGTATCAAGTTGTTCAAGTGAAGATCATGTTGGAGAGTTATTACGTGCTGAACAGGTTAGAGTTATAAAACTTTCTTTTTAGAATAACAACGAGCTAATTTCTCTTTCCTTTTTTAGTTTTCGGTATCGAGTTTAACAACAACGACATCAGCTGATTTATCAAGTTCAACTGGTTTAATATCAGCTTCATGGCCATTAACAAATGGTATTCATTATCAAGTTCATTCAAATCGTTCATCTCAATCTCTTAATTCTCCTCCATTATCAAATTTTGATAATCAAAGTCATAAAATTTTAAAAGAAATTTTAACATATCCATGGGTAAATGAAATATCAAATACAAATATGAATCATCAAGAAATAGGAAATGAACATATGGAAAATCATATATCATCATCAATTATTCCTGATGAATTTCAATCGGATTTCTATTATTTATGTCCACTTAAAAATACCACAAGTTTTCTTAAAACCGATGAAAAATCTAATGGTGTTCATAGACAATTATCCCATGATGTATAATGTGTTCTATTTGTGTTTTCTTTTTCTTTTTTTTCTTTTTTCGTTTATGCTCTCTTTCATCTCCTTTTATTTGCTTGAAGTTTTGTTTTTTTTTCAAATTGCTGCTCAAGGCCAGATACTGTTATTTATATTTTTGTTGTTGTTGTTGTTTTTTTTTTTTCTTTTTGTTATCACATTAGATATATAATGAGAAAGAAAAAAAAAGAGAAAAGCAAAATGATTATGTATTGTTGCCAAGTAATTGATCAAGTAAATCTAAAATTAAAAAAAAAAAAAAAAACGGAAAAATCAATAAGAAAAATGAATAAATTATTACAATTAATATTTATTTTTGTTTGTTCCTCATTTAAACCTAATTGAATAAGATCATCTAATTCTTCATCAATTAATGGTTCACCAAGTGTTGTCATTATTGTTCGAAATTTATCAATATCAATATAACCTTCTTGTGTTGAATCAAATTTTTCTAAAGCTTGACGAAGACCATTAGGATCATTATTAATTACTGTCCATGATTCATCGGCTATTTGTAAAATATCTTCAAATGTTAATTCAAATTTTCCTTAAAAGAAAAAGAAAAAAGGCATAAAAACCAGTGAAATGGAAAAAAAGTTGAGTATCTTGAAATGCTTTCAAAAATAATATTACTAAGTGCAGGAAAGAAAGTCAATGAATATTATTTAGTATAGATACATTATGCCATTTCATAAGAGATCAATAGTTGGTATAAGTTTATAGTATATTTTCAGAGCAATTAAAAGAATTTATTGAAAAAAAAATATCAGATCAATGAAAATTATAACAACCTTTATAATTGGTACGTGAGCTATGAAATTTATGAACCTGCTATAAACATATTAATAGAATCCTTTAGGAAACTTCTGAGCACATCATTCGTTTTCTTGACGAATGGTGACATAGACTGTTAATTCATTCGATTCATACTTTTCTATTTTGGTCCTATTGATTGACGTCTACAATAAGATCCTTTTGCAATCTGACGTATTTAGATTATTTCGAAGTTATAATAGAAATTTTCGATTTATAGAATGCTTAGAAAGTTTCTATCAAGTTCCAATAGAATCTAAGTGTTGTTATTACTGATGTACCTTTTTTTCTTTGTTAGGCAAATGTACCGAATGATCATTGACCTACTCCTACTGTTCCTATGGAAACGTATCCAATAATCTTTAGCTTCCCTTCGGTTAATTACTAAGGTTTCAGGCGTAAATATGTGAGCTGCACAAAAAAATTTTTATCTAATAGAATCTTTCGAAAATGCAAACTTTCTATTAAATAAGAACATTTTTCTTACCATCTGCTTCAAGTTCATTTATTCTTTGTTCAGAATCTTTTAATGAAGGATTCCTACCAAGTGCTTGTAAAACTTGAGTCAAACGATTAATATTAATAAAATCATCATTAGGATCATCTTTAAATCTTGAAAAGACTTCATGTAATTCGACTAAAAAAAAAACCATCGACAATTATCTTTGTACATATTCAAAAAAAAAAAAAAAGAAAAAGCATATTTCTTTTCTTTTTTTTACCCATTCCTTGATCAACATCTTCATTATCTGTATTACGATCTATTTGAGAATTTTCTTCGTCTTCCTAAATAAATATTTTTTACATATCTATTTTATTTTTCATATTTAACTTACCATATATTTCAATATTAATAAAAACTTAACTTTTTACACACTATAGTTGTTGCTAACAACTACAAAGTAATTTAGAATTTCTTCTTTTTTTTGTTGTATTTCTCACCTCACAACTGTGAGACACTATTAGTTTTCATTTTTATTTCTTTTTTCTTTTCCTTCTCAACCATAGAAAAAAAAACAAAAAAAAAGTATAATACACATAAAGAAAAGTAACATTCTTTTTTTTTTAAAGTTCAAGTTTTTCATTAAATGTTCTCATTGGTATAGGTGTATTACAATTTCCATGATATAAACTAATATTTTGTTCATTATTACAATTAAAATAATTTTCCCAAACATCATCATAACCTTTACCTTTCCACCATGTACATAATTGTCTATTCCAATAACATGGTAAAATAAAAAATAATTCATTATGTTCAAAACTTAATAATGTATAAAAATCTTGATCACCTAAATGTGGATGATTAAAATGATATTTATAAATAAGTTGTTCAATAAGATATGAATTTTCTAAATAATTATTAAATAATATTGATTGACGAATTTTATTTAAATTAAGTAATAAAACACCACTATTAAAACCTGTTATACCATATGGTGGAGGATTACCAATATTAGTATGAGGATTTTCTTGACGATATAACCAAAGAAGATGTCTATAAACAGGTTGATTTTCACGTGCAATTCCTATATCAATTTGAAAATAATTTGATATATGAAATTTACAGTTTTTTTTTTGTTTTTATTACCTAATATTTGACTTTGATTAAATTGATCAAATAATTTATATAATTCTTTTATATCATTATCAAATCGAAGATCAATATCAAGCATAATAATATGTGAAATATTTTCTGGTAAAATTCGATGTAAAAATGGTGATAGAAAAAATAATGGATCTTTATAATATGTATGATCAGATGAAAAATGTTTAATTAATGATGAGATTAATTTTTCATATTTTAATGTTAAATTATCGATATTAAGTTTATTTATCTTAATAGGACAAAAAAAAAATAAAACACAATCGAATTTTTTGTTTTTAAGAAAAATTTAATTACTTGATGATTATAATGAAATGTTTGAAGAGTTTGATCAACAAAATGATGACTATCTGAATCACCAATAACATGTAAACGAAGATTATCTATAGATGTATGTTGAAATAATGAAGTAATCATTGTTAGAAAATTTAATTGTAAATGTTCATTTATTGCAAGATTTTTTACAGTAAAAATAATATTAATTATTGGTGATGAAAATGATGATTGTATATAGATGAAAAATAAGAAAAATAATATCTTTTTAAAAGTCATGAATAAATCTGAAATAAACACTTAAAAATTTATTAATTACTTCTATGAAAATATTCTTTTTTTTTATAGAGCGAGATTAAGATTTTTGTTCGTAGTAAATCATAAATAAGATGAAAAAGAATACTTTTCTTTTACTTGGCTAATGATTGTCATGATTTACATATAAGTTTGTAAATATTGATTGCTATTCTTTGTCTATGAACAAGTTAATGATGAAAATATAACCGATTTTACATTGATTGAGAAATAATGAGAGTATATGTTGTTTATTCATAGATGTATTAAAAAGAAATAAAATACTTTTGTTCATGATTGGACAATATCTTAACAAACGATAAAGTTTTGTTGAATTAATCACTATAATTTATTCTAAGGACAGTTTACTCTTACAATCGATAGATAGTAAAGAATGATCGAAATTTTTGTCGTTTTTTGACTAAATCGTAAAATCTTAGTAGTGATTAAAAATGCATTGATTTTATTTATCAAGTGATGATCTAAATTCACTACATACCTCATGTTTAAAAAAAAAAGATGACGTGAATTTTGCAATAAAATGCTGAATTGTTTTTGCTCAATCGGAAATATTCGGAAAACACTGTCATATGTTAGATGTACAATCGAATTTAAAGGATATTTCATGATCTCAGTGGAAGAACAGTTCGTTGGAAATATTTTCCGTGACATGAAGAGCGTCTCAAATGTATGGACATAAATAAAATTCATTGATTTGTTTTTATTTTCATTTTTGAATTCAAGGATCCGCAACAATCTAAAGCGCTCAGCAAATAATGCATTTTGAGCTTCACTGTATGTTTCTATGATATTTAACATAAGAGTAAATAGCATTGAATTTTAAATTAAGCTATCTTTTCAATCATAGACTAAATACTATGAAAGTGTTTAATTGAAGAAATAGTACATATGATTTTTCAATTCCTTACGTTACACATTCATTAGCAATTTTTTTTAAACTATGATGTAATGAATAAAGATTCTCTTATTTATTATCAAATTTTTCTTTGTATTTATATATAAATACTTGTGTTTGTGTGTTTTCTCATTCCTTATTATATCGAAAGAAAAATTACTATCTTCAATAGCAAACAATTCAAATGCCATTCATTAGAATCTATTCAACTTCTATTGTAATCATAATATCAAATATGAATGCATTTTATATTAATATACACATAAAAAAATTATACAGTAAAAGAAAGAATAACATAATCAACAGGTTCATCACTCGGATCAGTAATATCAATTTCAAATTGACATTTTTTTATATAAAAATCAATTGCTTTCTTATTAATTTTATGAACAGTTAATACAATTTTTAACATTTGTGTTCTTTGACAAAATATTTTCATTTGTTCTACTATCCATAGACCAAGACCTTGTCCTTGATAATTTTTATTTACTTGTAATTCATATAAATATAAAACACGATTACCATAATCAATATCAAAACGAAAATGTGCAAATGCTAATAAATGATTTGAAAATAAAATAAGTAAATATCGTGATTGATTAGAAAATAATTCTTTTTGTTTTTCATCAATATTATAACCATCATTTGATTGTTCATAAAATGTTTTCATATTCATTTCAAATAATTCTATAATTTGTTTTTGATATTCATTTGATAATTCTGTAGCATAATATATTTTAATTTGATAATTATTTTGTATAGATTTATTTGAATGAAGAATAAAATTATAAAGATCAGATGAAGAAAGATTTTTTGCATGTTCAACTAATTTACGATTTTTTTTCATTTTTTTTTTTTTAATAATTTTCTTCAATTAAAAAAAAAACAAACAAACAAACAAGATGAATATTAGGAAAAAACAAAATTCTTCTATTCTTTGTTTTATTTTCTTCTTATCTTTATTTTATTTTTCAAAACAAACAAAACACATTCATTTTAATGTTTCACTACGAACAGTTAGTTACATTGTGTCTGATGTTTCACTTTTTTCACTAAGAACGGTTATATTTTGTGCCGTTTCACCTTTTTCATTTTTTATTATATTAAATTCAACTATTTGACCTTCTTCTAATGATTGAATACCATTAGTTAAATTTCGAACATGTACAAATACATCTGGTCCGCCAGTATCACGTGCCACAAATCCATAACCTCTTCCTGTTAGCCATCTGAAAAGATTTATTGAAATCAAAACATAATACAACAAAATTCTAATATTCACTTTTTGACAGTGCCTGTCTGACGTTCACCAAGATTTGCAGTTGAACTTGAGTCTTGTTGTTGGTTTTGAAGACTATCGTCTTTTACAATAACTACATCACGTGCTTCTTCACCTTTGTCTGTTTGATGAATACTAAATTCAACTGTTTGTCCCTAAGATAAAATGAAATTTAGTTGTTTCTTGCGATTTAAATTGTTGAAAATAATACCGGTTCAAGTGATTGTACACCATCTTTAAGGCTTCGAACATGACAAAAAAGATCTTGATTACTATTTGTTCGTCGAATAAAACCAAAACCTCGTTCAGGTGTCCATCGTTTTACTGAACCGAATTCACGAGTTTGTTCATTAGTAATTTGTGGTTTTTTTGAAGAAAAAAAATTATCTTTAGAAGAATTTGTTAAATTTTCACTAAATTTAAAAGCTTTTTCTGTTGATGTTGATTCTTGTTCGTTAGAATTTAATTTAGAAGATCGAGTACCACCAAAATTGAATGAAGACGATGATGATGATTGATTTCTTGAAAATTTACCAAAATTGGTTTTTGATTGAGGTAACTCATCATTAAATGACCGTTCGAGAAATGATCTACGACCAGTTCCAGTGCTAAGAATACTAACATCCTATGAATAAGAAAAAAAAAGAAAATGTTAGCATTCAATTAAAAATTGAAAATACCGACATAATCATATTCTGTATTTTTGTGAACAGTAAATATTTAATTTATCATCAACAAAGTGATATAGAGCAGTATAACAAAAACGGAAGATAAGTATCTTTCATTTGACTTTGATTCTTTATGAGATCTATTTTTCTGCATAAATTCTTCTATCATAAATTTGTCTACACAAATATATGATTTTTGAAGTCAACTCAAATTAAACTATAGTTAACGAATAAATTTCACACTTCATGATCGAACAAATCAAAGAATTGCAGACTAAATTGCATGCTATGAACGACTTTTATAGTGGAATTTTGCATTGGAAGAAAGTTTTTTTGTTGTTATTTTAGTACTATCTCATATACTTAACATTTTGAAAAATTTACCGAGCCAGGTACTAAAAAAAAGCTGCTCGAACCCGAACTAAAGGTTGTCGTTAAATTTTCTATAATTTCTTGTGAAGTATGTTATAAATCATATCAATTAAAACAAAATACAAGAGAGATGACTAAATGAGAGTAACATTCATCGACTACATTAATCACAAAAATGAGTATTCAAGACTTTTAGATTTAATGTGATGAAGCTTTCGCAATTTTCATGACCATGTTTTGAATATATTGTTTCTATAAAAATATACATATATTAAAAAACTGATAGTTACATATTCTGAAAGATCTTGGAGTTTTCAATCACTCTGTATATATATGTTTTAGTTTACATGAAAGTACCAAAAAAAAATGAAACGCAATGAAGATTTTCTCATCGTTATCACTATAATAAAATTTGATTTCAAGAATAACTTTATATTCTGATAGCGTTTCAAGTTCTCTATCATTCCATATATTTAGATGATGTTTCAAATTTATTTTTTAAGAAAATAAATTCACTTCTACATACAAATATGTAGAATGATAGAGAGTTGCAAACATTTTCAAAATAGTGAGTTACTTTTGAAATTAAGTTTTACTATAGTAATAATGATGTTCAAAATCTAGTCGAGAATACAATCGTATCATCTGCTAGCCTTTAGTACAAGTTATAATATAAATATAAAGAGTGATAGAAAACTTGAAGCTTGTTTAGAATATGTAAGTATTGTTTTTTCAAAATATATTGTTCGAGGGACAGTATATTCAAAATACGAACTGCAAACATTCACCGCAACTAATAATTCAACGTTTCTTTCAATGCTCAATCTTTGTTTTTTTTTGGTACGAATATTACTTTTCACATGTTATCAAAATTGTTCTTTACTGAAAAACTATTTATTGATAATTTCTTGAATGATCGTAACTTACTTTTGCTTCCAATCCTTTTTCACCTTGTGTTGCAGTAAATTCAACTTCTTGTCCTTGTTCAAGTAGTCTAAAACCAGTTGCATTTATATTTTTAAAACTTGAATAAACAAAAGATATAAATAAAATTTGAAAAATAATGATAATCATACTGAACAAAATAATCAGTTCCATCACTAGTTTTTGATATAAAACCAAAACCTTTTTCTTTGGAAAATCGTTTAACAACGCCTTTTTCACGATTACTCGAACTACTAGTTTCATTCGAAGTCGCTTCAGCTGTACTTAATAAACGAACAAAATGTTGTTGATAGTTATGAATTGGTCGAACAGATGTTAATAGGCGAACAAATATATTTGATAACATTTTGTGAAATCAAAAAAAAAAAGTTAAAATAAATTCATACCATCAAAATAAAATTTATATAAAATAGAATTTCTTTATTAAAACAAAAAAAAAACAGTCAATAAATTAATTTATGCTTTCATACGTTCACTATTCCAATCATGTATAGACATTAATTTATATGAAATTTTCATTGTTTCACTTCGAAATGAACATATTATAAATTGTTCAAGAAATTTATTTAAACAATAATAAAATTGTCGATGACGACTTAAAATTTGTTCATTTAATTGAAAACCAATTGAATAAAATCTTTCAAGATTTTGTTTTCTTATTTCAACATTATTTTGTGTTTGAACAAATAAATTACATTCATTTTGACAATCATTTAAAAAATGTGCTAAACGAGATTTCATATAACCAATCCATTGATTAAGTTCACTGTTTGTTTTACCAGATAATTTTAATTGAAGAATTGCTTGTATTGTTTTATCAGGAAAATGATTTGATAATTGAAGAATTTCTTTAAGAGTATCTTCATATTTTAGTTTTTTTTCAATTATGTTATGAACATTTTGAAAACCTTGTATGATTAAATCACGTGTAGAATCTATGGTTGAACGTGATGTATTATTATATGGTGGACTTGGACATAATATACGCATTGAACCACGATTATCTATTGATGACTGATCAGAATAAGATTTTTTTGAATATAAACTAACTGATTCCGATGACCAATTAAAATGGGAATAAGTTGAAAAAAATTTTTCAACTAAGATAAAAAATTCTTCAATAGAAAAATAAGAATTATTTAATAATAAAAACCTATGACATATATAAGCACATAAAATTGCCCAAGAATAACCACCTAAATAACCATATACTTGACCATATAGACCAACATTTTGAGCCCATGTACGAATAAAAGTTAGCAAATGTTGAAATATAGGTGGTGAACGAACATAAGTTATAAGACGTTCAATATCATGAACCTAAAAAAAAGAATGTTTTTAACAATTATTTACTAATAGTTTTTTTTATCTAGTGTGTACATAGCGCTTCACCAACGATCAGATTAACTCTCTCAAAGTTTATGATTATATCATTCAATTATCAGTCCTAGATAATGTTTCTTTTTGGAGAGTAAAATGATCAGTTTTTTTTTATAGAAGTGCATTTCATAGAATAATAATCATAAAAACGCTACCTATCATCCCAATTTTGATTTTTGTCTTTGTTTTTCTCTTACCCCATGTATAGGTTCATGAAAATTAGAAAGAAAATATGTTTCATCTGAATATTGTTCATTTGTTATTAATTTTTCTTTAATTTGTACAAATATTTCTACTCGTGTTTGATCATGAAATAAAATCGAAATAATTGGATAAATAGCTTGAATATTTCGACATTCAATTATTTCATTATTTAAATCATTGTTAATTTGTGTTGTAAGTAAATTTATTATTTGATCATTTAATGCTAATGAATCATATCGTAGTTGAAAAAATATTTGATCAAGATTTGTTTTATTAATATTATTTATAGATTTTTGTTCTGATAAAATAAATACAGTATCAAGATCTTCTCCATTTAAACCCTTATAAATAAATAAATTATTTATTTTTTTTAAATCGAAAACTTACTAGACGAAAACTTCCATAAGGAAAAAATGCATATGTAAAATAATTTAATGTATTTTTATTAAAAATTTCTTCAAAACAAATTGATAATCGATTAAATTTTTCTTGTTTTTGTTCATAAGCTTTTTTATTTTCATATAGATTTATTTTATTAAAAAATTCTTGTAATTCAAAACTTATATTAGAAAATGGATTTAAACCTATTGGTTCAAGTACAGAACCTAATGGTATTTGATAAGCTATATGAAATGATGTTTTATGATTATCAGATGTTTGTCGTAAGATATAAATATATCGAACAGGAAATTGAATTGGTTCGTTTAAAGCTAAAAAAAAATTTTAAATGATATTCTTTTCTTTAAATTGATTAAAATATGAAATTTATATTAATAACTTTGATCAGAGTGAATGTATGCGATTAATTTTATGTACCTACATCCTCATCATATATCTAGAACTTACTTAATAATGGTTTGATTTGATTTTGTTTTTTCACACTATCAAATTGTGCTATTGTCATATATGGATTATAATCATTTTCATTATTAAATGACCATTGTGGAAAAAATTGTTTAATATATTCATATAATTGTTTAACATATTTTAATGATTGTT